GCGAGTTGAGCCGGTGCGGGATCTCCGCGAACTTCATGCGCGAGCACTGGAAGATCTGCTCCAGGTACCGGTCGCAGTTGACGTACTCCCGCTCGCTCTGGTCCTGCCGGCCAGAGACAGAGGGAGCTGGTCAGGCGCCGTCCGTCCTGTCGTTTCAGACCATGTCCACTTTCTGTCCTATAATGTCAAACCCTGCTCAGTTTGTCTTGATCTCCCATGTCCTGCGCCGCTTCTCCCGTCCCCGCCCCGTTTTGTCTATCTTATATTATTCCATCGGTGTTCATCCTAGCCTAGCCTGTACTGTCCTCTTTTGTCCTTCCCAAAGTAACTACTTCAAACCCTATCACATCCAATACTACCAACCACTTCCCCTGCATCCATGAAATGTGTCATGTTGAAGCCATGAAATGCAACTTAAATCTTCAAATGAAATCTGCAAGAAGCTATTGGTTGGATTATTTTAACAAGAGTTCTTTACCACCTATCAAACACCTACATGATGCTATAACATACAAGATCTATGAGATAAAATGTATGGAACTACATCTCACCTGCACAGTCAGCTGGGGCCAGCCAGTGACACAACCCAACATCAAACCCCTGGCAACCGGCGTGCACGGACCCCCGACGGAGGTGACCTCGATCCGCCGCGCGTCTCACCTGCAGCTTGTTGTGCTTGACGTACTGCCAGAGCGCCTGCGTGATGACGGGCCGCGACTGCGTGTGCACGCCTAACAGGCGCGCCAGCCGCGAGTCCAGCTTGAACTGCGGCGGCTGGTAGTCGAGCAGCAGCAGGATCGTGCAGCGCACGTTCTTGTCGCCGGGCCGCTTCACCTGCACGGAACAGTCAGGGCCAGGACAGGTCAGGTCAGGTCGGGTCAGGTCAGGTTAGGTCACAGTCTGCAGTCAGCGGAACGGCACGACGCGGCATCACGGAGATGGGACACTCACAGTGTGCAGCACGCCACCGACAAACGGCACGCGCCTGAAAAGCTACGGACATTTCCACAACAATGTACAAAAATCTGGCAACTGGTGCGCCGAGCTTTGTTTAGAGGAAGTGCAGCACCTTTAGAGCATATTTTAAAAAACATACTCTAGTGAAACCCCAGGACCAGTTGCGTCTAAAAAAAGCACCGGGTAACACCACTGCATGAACGTCAAGACGTCATAATGATGCCACTTTTAATTTTTCCGAGTCCAGTTACGCTGCCAACGCTTCGTAACTGCACTACGCTTCTTCCTGCAGTTGCCGCAACCGTCGTCGTTAAAACAACCGCCGTTGGCACCGCTATTGGTACACATATAAGACCATTTGTGATTTGCGGGCGGCAATGGCCTGTTACAGATGGGGCATTGGTCAAAGTTTGAACCGCGCGTCACTATGTACGATTGATACTCCCATTCCCAAACCCACATGCGCCTCGAAAGAGTCCCTGTGGTGAACACCATGTGGGGGAGGGGGGGGGGGAGGGGAGAAAATCGAAATCATAGCATAACGTTTCGTTGACTTCGCGGCACAACCTTCATGTTCGCATATTTTTTGTTTTGTTTAAACGAAGTGTTTCAATCTTTCGTAGCGTTTATTACATACATATTTCGACAAATTAATGTGTTGCAAACGTTACAGATAAACAAGTGGAGAAGTAATGGAAATTAAATGCATTACTTTCAAAGTGGCAAGCAGCGCGTTCCATAACATTCTCCTGCAGGGTGGGCTATTTCAAAACCGAATTCTGAGGTACTTGGAAGGATTTCGAGAAAAATGGTATAACTGATCAAATTGTTCGCACCTGATCTAACAATACGTGAACAGTACCAAAAGGTGGCATACCCCCTTCAACAACGACTCGTCGCCAGGCAACAGGCACTCCCTCCTTGAGTAGCGCTGGTGCCGCCCCCGGGGTGAGGCCACCCCACCTGAAAGCCGTCGGTCTCCTGCGTGGTGGCGGTCCGGTGCCACTCGACCAGATGGTGTCCGGACCGTACAGGTCCTTGTCCAGCTCAATCACCAGCGACTTGAAAAAGGACGAGAACTTGCGCTTGGTCTGCGGACAGTGACGTCAGCTCAGCGCGCGGAGTCGGTGCGATTGTATCGGGAGTATCTCTGGCTGGAGGGAGGCGGCCCTACTGCAGTGACTGGGTGTGTGGGCGCATCTCCGGCTGGAGGGAGGCGGCCCTACTGCAGTGACTGGGGTGTGGGCGCATCTCCGGCTGGAGGGAGGCGGCCCTACTGCAGTGACTGGGGTGTGGGCGTATCTCCGGCTGGAGGGAGGCGGCCCTACTGCAGTAAGGGTGTGTGTGGGCGCATCTGGTGGAAGGAGGCGGCCCTACTGCAGTGACTGGGGTGTGGGCGCATCTCCGGCTGGAGGGAGGCAGCCCTACTGCAGTGACTGGGGTGTGGTGGGCGCATCTTCCGGCTGGAGGGAGGCAGCCCTACTGCTAGTGACTGGGGTGTGTGGGCGCATCTCCGGCTGGAGGGAGGCGGCCCTACTGCAGTGAGCGGGGTCGGTGGGCGGCATCTCCGGCTGGAGGGAGGCGGCCCTACTGCAGTGAGCGGGTCGGTGGCGCCTTCTCTTCTCCGGCTGGAGGGAGGCGGCCCTACTGCAGTGAGCGGGTCGGTGGAACGCATCTCCGGCTGGAGGGAGGCGGCCCTATTGCAGTGACTGGGTGGGTGGACGCATCTCCTGCTGGAGGGAGGCAGCCCTACTGCGGTGACTGGGTCGGTGGGTGCATCTCCGTTTGGAAGGAGGCGGCGCCTACTGCAGTGAGCGGGTCGGTGGACGCATCTCCGGCTGGAGGGAGGCGGCTCTATTGCAGTGAGTGGGTAGGTGGACGCATCTCCGGCTGGAGGGGGCAGCCCTACTGCGGTGACTGGGTCGGTGGGCGCATCTCCGGTTGGAAGGAGGCGGCCCTACTGCAGTGAGCGGGTCGGTCAGTGGTGACGTCAGGCTTAGGTGTGCAAATACACAGAGCCAACGTCTGACAAAGCGAGGTGGGATGGAGCAGGATGGCAGGGGTACGGCTTACGCTACGATGCCGCGACGGCACGGCTAGGCCGCGAATGTTCACATGCGCCTGAACACCTCGAGTGGCGAGGTGCAGAGGCGCCGAGTGCCGTGTCCCGCTCCGGACAGCGACACCAGCGTGCCGGCTCCGGCGGGCAGCCACTGCTAGTGCCAGGGAGGGTGAGGAACACCCGGCGCGTCTGCATCGCTGGGCTGAAGATGGGTTTGCCGTTGGTCATGTCCCTCAGTCACTACGCCCCCAGCCACTACGTCTGACCATGTTCGTCTCAGCCTCGTCCCCGCCCTCAGCCACTACGCCTAACCATGTTTGTCTCAGCCTCGTCCCCACCCACGGACACTACGTTTGACCACGTTCGTTTCAGCCTCGTTTCCGTCCCGGCCGCTGAGTATGACCATGTTCGTCTCAGCCTTGTCCCCACCCTCAGCCACTACGCCTAACCATGCCCGTCTCAGCCTCGTCCCCACCCTCAGCCATTACGCCTAAACCATGTCCGTCTCAGCCTCGTCCCCACCCACGGACACCACGTCTGACCACGTTCGTCTCAGCCTCGTTCCCACCCCGGCCGCTGAGTATGACCATGTTCGTCTCAGCCTCGTCCCCGCCCTCAGCCACTACGTCTGACCATGTTCGTCTCAGCCTCGTCCCCGCCCTCCGCCACTACGTCTGACCATGTTCGTCTCAGCCTCGTCCCTGTCCCCGGACACTACATCTGACCACGTTCGTCTCGGCCTCGTCCGCACCCCTCAACCACTCCGTCTAACCATGTTCGTCTCGGCCTTGTTCCCACCCTCAGCCACTACGTCTGACCACGTTCGTCTCAGCCTCGTCCCCGCCCCGGCCGATGTCACTGACCTTGCAGGCATCGGCCTTGGTCTCGTCCCCGACCCGGCCGATGTTACTGACCTTGCTGGCATCGGCCTTGGTCTCGTCCAGCAGCTTGCCCTCGACACGCAGCTCCCACGAGGAGGCACTGCCCTCGGTCTCGCCGTCCACCGGCTCTTTGGCCGGGAAGTACGTGTTGGAGATGAAGATGCGCAGCTTCCGCTTCTGCTTCAGCGGCCGCTTCAGTGCCTCCTACGCGAGCGCCAGAGGACAGTTAAACTCGCGACACAAGGTGTGAACGCCGTGTTGGACGGGTCGATGCGTGACAGGTGCTACTCCGGACTGCTTTGACGCCAGCTAAGTTACAGTGGATGACGATTAATACACGGTCGGTACTCTAGGGACAGACTCTGCTCCTATGGGGTGAATAGGACGAGGTAGCATTGCCTCAACAAACAAAAAAATGTTGCCCACGAATGAAGAGCAGCCACAACAGCAGGCCCCAGGTGGGCAAGATTCAGGCAAAAGGGGTGACTCGAAACACCGATGTGAGTAATAAATGAGTGCACCATACTCAACACCGTACTGCGAAGTTCTCGAAATGTTTGGCGTGGGAATGCTGTCCGGGAGCTTTTCGGTGGCAGGGTTCTCGTCCTTCATCCGGTGCTAGGGATGGCATCATGGGTTTACTCGAAGACCATTGTAAGATTGACAAAGCTACACACCGACCGTTTAGCAGGATGCACTGCTGACGTCGCTGCCTTCACAGCGCCGATGAACACTGCAAGTCCTACCTGAATGTCCAGCCGCTTGCGCATGATGGTGGCATCCAGCTTGCGCTCAAAAGCCAGGAGGTCCATGTAGGCCTGCGACTCGGGCACCAGGTCACGCACCTTCCACGGCAGGATCTTGTCCGCCATCCGCTTCTTCTTCTTGGCGCTGCAGCGACAGATGGCGCAATGTCAGTCCGGACGCACACACACACACACACACGCACACACACACACACATGATACGGTCGGGAGTCGTGAGACCGTGCACTGCGTCACGGTCCACCCGGCGGGTTCTGCAGCCGCGTGGGCGCGGACCGCGCAGACAGCGGCGGGCCGACCGAGGCCTACCTCTTCATGGGCTGGCTGGAGACGGCGGCGCGCGTCCGAGGAGCGCTTGCCGCCGCTAGGCATGGCGGGCGCCCGGCTCGGCGGGTACTGGTTCTGCACCATGCTGCCCCCTGTGAAGAAATGTCGCCGGGAGGTTAGACCAGAGGGGCGTAGTGTTATAACGTTCTGCCATCTGCAACAAAGGGCCGCCAGCGCGTGGCCGGCCACCAGGGGCAGGGGTCACGGGAGGCCTCCACGGCGACACGAGACAGGCGCCCATCACTACATGGCCTTCTAGATCTTCAACTTCGTCCCTGCAGCTACTTCAAACAAGAGCCTATGAGCCCCCCCCCCCCCTGCCAAAAAAACGGCACGTACCAAATCGAAAACACAGCCGAGTGCATCTGACCGGCTACAACTATCACCGAGCTGGCATGACACGCCCCGTGTCAGGCGGCCACCAGGCGGCGCGGCGGGCGCACGGCGGACGGAGCCGCACTCACCCGAGCGCTGCATCATGTTCTGGGTGCTGCTGGACGGGAACTGGCCGTGCTGGGCGGGCATCCCCTGTGACGGACAGGCGGGACACTGCGTCACGGCCAGTGCCACATCACCACTGATCACAGAGGAACACAGCTGGGCTGTGTGGCATGACAAAACAGCCCACAAATGTGCTGGGTCACGAATGATGTTAGTAAAAAAGATGTACCGTGAAAGTGAAGGAAAGTGCCTGACACTGCAATCTCATTGGCAGCAATTGTGCTTGGAATGGATGAAAGGCTGCTTTCAAGATGCCCTCCACAAGATACACAATGTATGGGAATGCCACCTACACTTCCCTTGTGCTCCAGTCATGACTCCACAAAAAGAAAAAGATCAGCCACAATGCTGCTTAAGGAAACCCTGGTGTTTGTATTATCAATCTAGCGCACAATTTGTGTGCCCAAACTTTATTCTACACCTTTTTCATCACATCCCAGAGGGAGATCGCCTGCCTCGACAGTCATGCGGGTGTCCCATGAGGGCGGGCCGTTCCTGGACAGACCAGGGTGCGGCCCGCACGTGGCCATCAATCACCGCTCACCGCGTATCCGGGCGAGCCGTAGCTGCGCATGGGTGGGGCGGCGCCGGCCGAGCCGAAGCGGGCCTGCTGGCCGGGCAGCGAGCCGTCTGACGGCGATGGGAAGCCCGGCGGGCGCGCCGCCATCGCCGCCTACGCCACGAACGGGCCGCGGCCGCGCCGTCAGGAGACCAGCAGACAGCAGACACAGGACCCAGTGACGGAGCAGCCGACCTGCACGCAGCCAGGCAATGATGAAGTGTACAACTGATGTGACTGTGAGTTATGACACTAGTCTGGACTGTAACACAGCATACCTCGCAAGCCGCAGCACATGCTGCACAGCGCAGCCTTGCGAAGCAGTCAGTCATCGCAAATTATATCACATGAATTTTGGCGTGCACAAATGACAATGCCAATGATAACAAGAAACCAACACAATTTTATCTCCAATGCTAAATATACTGATGGGACAATACCAATGCAGTAATGTTTGGTTGGTGTAGGTTTGGTGTAGTTGGTGTAGTGGCATTAATGTTTGGTTGGTTGGTATCAACTATGATATTTATACAAAATATCATGGTGTATAAATATAACTGAAACATACCTTTTATAAATAATTTGAGTACTCACACCATGAGCCTGATGCAATTTATACAGCTCCAAGCCATATGTTTTAAGCTATAGGTGCAGATAATGTAGAAGACCAGGGGCCAGGCTCCAAAAAAACATGTCCACTGTGTGGGATGTCAGTGCCAACCTCACCAGTGACCCTTGCAGTCACATGTGTCACTAAGGTCACTGAATTTGCACTGAATTGTCAAATTATTTTAGCATGAAAAATATTTGATTTTGACTATACTGAAACTTCCTTGGCAACATCATAATTCCTGACAGCATCGGTGACTTATATGTCAAAATTGGTGTCATTCATGCGCAAGACTCTGAGCACTCAGATTTATCCGTATGTGAACTGAAATGCTGGCTATGTCACTGCTGTGCTCAAAATGTCCATTTTCAGTATGCAGAGACAGACTATACCATCACATCTAAGTCCACAAAAATGCTGTTAGGTGCAATCACAGGTTCACGTGTAGGGACAGAGTTATGGTAGTCCTTATAAGGTTTGCTGACATCATTATTATTTAAATTTCTTCAAAGCAGAGGTGTTAAGGCAAGATGCTGTTTTTTCACATTTCTTTTTCTTCTTTTTTCAACATTTTCATTTCTTGCAAATCGTCTTTCTCGCACGTTGCCATTGCTTTTTAAGATCTTAGTATGTCCGTACTTAGAGTATGGCAACGTTATCTGGGCCCGTTCGGCAAACTGGACCAGAAACGGCTGGAACGAGTTCAGCGACGAGCTACCCGGCTGTCTATGAAGTGAGGCGCCAGCCATACCCTGAGAGGCTCAGACTCCTTCAGCCGCCCTCACTGTACTATCGTTGTCGCAAGGGAGACATGGAAACAGTGTACCAGCTATTTCATGGAGGCATGTCGCTATCGGAAGAGGAGTTCCTGACAAGGCACAACTCGGAGGTGACGAGAGGACACCAATGGAAGCTCAGAAAACCTCGAGCTAGGACTCTCGTCGGTCGCAACTCATTCAGCACACGGACTGTCAACGACTGGAACGCTCTTCCGCACCTGCACCTGGTCGTGTCATCGACCTCAGTTGAACAGTTCAAGGCTAGGCTTGATGGGCACTGGGCTGACATCATGTACACGTCCCACACTGAATATTCCCATAATTTGAGACTGTTTGGTTACCGGACTGGGAGCCTGACAAGACCGGGACCTACAGGCCTAGTGACCTTTTACAATTCCTGATCACCATAAGGTAAGGTAAGGTAAGGTAAGATTGGGCAGTCAAATTTATATGCTGTCATTACAGCATTAAAGGAAAATCACAGTATCTTTTAAGTACTTGTTAAGAGCATCATAGGCAAAAGGCCCTGAGTGCTTGAGATACTTGAGGTACTCAAGGTACCTTTACCAATGTAAATATCTTGTTGCAAGTTGTACATTGCATTTGTGAGCAGCATTAGGCACATAGGTAAAACAGTGCTGTTAGCCTTAGAATAATCAGGAGAAAGGAGGCACTGATGTGTTAATATTTTGGCCACATGCCTGCATAAAAATAAAATGTCTGCCTTTGTGAAATGCCTGCATGCCATTGTTGTTTTGATAAAGACATGCATCTAAAATACTGATCCATCTATCTCCCCTTCCTCCTGCTCATTTTAAGACAAATAAGGCTAACAGAACTGTCTCATCTTTCTGTTGCAGTTGTCACACAACACCTTGGGAAAACATCAGTGATTTTTGCCTTTCAGCCAGCACAATCAAATGCTGGTAGAAGGATAGGGATGACCATATAATAATCAACTGGTGACCAGGACAGTGGACAGAAAAATGATTTAAAAAGTGGAACAAAACTTTCCTTGCAAATTCATCTTGCAGGCATGAAAATCTGTGGTTTTGTCAATTTGCCAGCCCCGTTAGTGAAAGTCTGAACGACATTTCTTTCTTTGCACTAATCCCGTAAATTCACACCGCCTATGTCAGCTAGATGGGAAACCTGCACCAAATAAAGCAGCCTTCTACTGTTACTTACTTCCCATCCCCAATGCAGAGCCATCCTTAAATATGCACGAAGCTTGGGGGTTCAGCTGAAAAACTGACCAAGGACGAGCAATCTGCGGCTTCAACGATGGATAATGATCACTCCACGATATATATATATATATATATATATATATATATATATACATATATATATACATATATATATATATATATAACCACTCACCGTCGTAAATGCGGCACCACGGGCCCAATCCTCGCCTACTTGCAGTTTGCACTCATTATGTGCAGTCCAAGCACCGACCTCAGTACCCACCTTAGCAACAAAAAACACGAAATATCACCGGAAAGCAGAAATTGCTCAACATCAGCATCAAACGTCTCGCGAGACTTGTAATTTTCCATCCTTGAGTCACGACTAGAAAACCCTTTTCCACAAGGAATTGACATGGACAAATACAGTGCACCCGTTACCCGATTCACGACTCACCCGACTTAAGCCTGATTTGCTGCGAACAACTCCAATAGTTTTCGGGCAATGCAATCTGTGCCATCTGATAAAAATGCACCTGTTTTCGGGCATGATAAAATATTTGCTGAACCTGGTATCTGACGTCACTGGTAACCGAGATCAGGATGATTGAAGAATACTTCCTAAAATACGCATTTCATTAAGTGACATGTGAATAGTTGCAGTAATTTTTTGTCCTTAAGAATAAAGTTTGCGCAGAACAAAACGTTTTACTTCTAAGGGATTATAGCAGCTCCGTGATTCTGGATCTCACAACTTAAGGTTCGGACTGTCAAACTTCAAAGTAGTTATTGAGTAGTGAGGCTACTAGCTGTAGGCATTCCAAAATGTTTTACCTCTTCTAATTGAAATGATAATCGTACAAATACCACAAAACAAACTAAAGGCCGTGGACACTGACGTCACAGACTGTTTAGCCTAGTGTTGCGCTGCGAACAGAGTGATGTGGGCGTGATTGCTGCATCCCGTGGCGCCATCTGTTTTATCTGTAGGACAGCAATATTTTACCCGAGCTACTAAACGCTGCGACTCGTACTACGGCGATGACGACGGGGAGTGGGTGAGCCGCTGTGCAGTGGGGAGGGTCGTGGGCGTATTGGTAGGTAGATACTGGAGGAGGGGCACTGCGAAAGTGGTGGGAACTTCGGATATTTGTGCGCTGGCGGAGAGAGCCGTCAGACTTTGGTATCATTGGACGGTTGCGAGCGTGAGACGTCGACCCCTTCCGCAATCCCAAAACTACTTGGTTTGGATCTGTCCCGAAGCCTAAGGGAGCCACTGTGCACACTGTTCGTGTTGCAGGAGGCAGTGGAAATTCCATGAACAAAGGGAGGAGCTTGTCTTGATAGTTGGATCAAGCAATTTATCATTAATGCTGGATGGTAATTCCCAGGTTGTTGGCCCTCTGGTTTCATGATTGCTCATGAAGATTGTTTTTGAAAACTGAGTTGAAGCGTGAAGGAGTTGCATGCCCTCTGCATGTTTGAAACCCTTGGCTAAAGAGTTGTGAACCCAGTTATTGAAATCCCACATTGATTTTGAAGTGTCCTTCAAGAGCAAGTTTACAAACATCTACTGAAGTTGCTTGTTGTCCAAGACTCACATACCCAGTCATTGTGGCGGAATCAGCAAGCTTTAGAAGATGGCGTCTAGAAGGTAAGCACAGCAGGGCACAATGGACATGGTGTTTAAGTAGTTGACCTGGTATTTGCTAGCAAGGAAAGCTATTAATGCACTAACAATGACTCATGTCTGTGCTAAGTATTTTGGATAAAAGATGCCAAAGGAATTGTTTCCATGTTATACATTTCAGGGTGCAGCATATCTGATTTTATTTTAAATACATTGTGTGGCTCATGGGAGGTATATAACTGAGTGTTTATTAAATGTATATGCATCAGAGTAATTCATGCTAAATTTATTTGACTACTACAATTTTTGATTTGTCAATAGAGGTCTATTATGAGTTACATTGTTGTGCAGGGTAGCCCAGAACTCACAACTAAAATTTCTAGCTGGAGCCTATCAATGCTATTTTTGAACTCCTTAGTTGGTCAGAATGTGGCGTGAGCTGCTCCCCAGCCAGTATGTTTGGTATGTCAGAAAAAACTTGTTTAGGTGGTGGCCAGAGTAGGCATATTTCTGTTCTTTGGTATATCTGTTTAAAAATGGGAGTATTTCAGGCTGTTATGTTTGCAGTGAAATGAAAACACACAACACTTAAATGAAAACCCATTTCACTTTTTGACATTGCACATTGTGACAGCAATCCATATGAGGCAGCTGATGTCTCTGCTTCATTGTAACTGACCTTGTGCCTGAGATGTCCCATAACACCAACTTTGGTGTGTCTGCATCTGCTTGCACTTTAGGAGGTTTGTGTCTATGTGTCTAGCATAAGGATTTACACCACTGTCATGTTACACTTGGAAGCTAGGGACCCCATGGACCATGGCATGCCTGATGTTGAAGAATCATGAGAACAGAATCTCACAGTATAAGGCTAGGGA